CAAGAAGTCGAAGCTTCGGAAGACGTGTTTCCGACTGGAGCAAGAATCTGGACGCTTGATAGGCTAAAGCCTTTACCGTCCTGTGCAACCTGACCTGACCTATCGTCGGCCTGCAGTTTATATGACCCACATGGATTCGTCGCGCCGCAGCTGTTACTGGGGAAGGTCCTCCTATAACAGTTATGTCGAAAAATGGTGGAGTGGGATCAACCCTTAGACGAAAAGGACCAGACAAATTGGGAACAATGGTTAACAAGATTATCCGGACTGGGTGAGATACGGATTCCGCGCCGACTCAGCCGGAGTAGTCAAGCGACGGAAACCGAACTGCACCTATTCTCGGGCGCGTCCGAGACGGGATACAGAGCAGAAGTCGATGTATGCTGGCTGCATATGAACGGTGAGCGCAAGACGGAATTACGTTTTGCTAAAGCGCGGGTCGCCCCATTTAAACGAGCTTCGATACCCCGCCTCGAACTTACCGCGGCCGTGCTAGTTGTAAGCATAACAAAGCAGCTGCGACAGTGTTTTAGTATATTCGAAGAATGCGTCACGTTCTGGACCGATTCTGCCATTGTAATACACTAAGTGAACAACATTAGCACTAGGATCAGTACATTCGTTTCCAATCGACTGACGGTGTTGCACGAAGAGACCAAGGCGCACCAATGGCGATACGTCAAACTGCGGACAACCCAGCCGACCACTGCGCCCGGGGCTTGAGATCACTGGACACATTATACGATTAGCTCCAAGGCCCGACATCTGTGACCGCCACGCTAGAGGACGAGAGTAAAGTGCTTGCACCCGCCGCACCCGCTGAGTTGATCAAAGCCGAGAGAGCGGTAATGACGGCGGAACTCGACGTCACCCCCTGTTAAGAATGCTCCTCGTCATGGAACAAACTGATTCATTCTGTCGCTTAGTGGATGAGGTTTAAACACACGGTGATGGTCCTGATCACAAATCGTTGCAGGTGGGACCCTTATCGACCATTATCGAACTAATGAGAGCTGGAAATAGCGTCGTGAAGTTAGTACAACAGTAGCATTTACCTTAGAAACAACGGCGTTGAAAGAGAGTGCACGGACGAACCCAAAAAGAACTGCGATCCAACGGAGTGCGTAAAGCGCGTAAACTGAAACCCATACTGGTCGAAGGGTTGCTACGCGTGGGAGGGAGATTGGAAATCTCCTCCTTGGCATTCGAAGCTGGACATCCAATCATCCTAACGGCCGGAAACCACATTACAACCTTACTGATACGCCACCTCCATATACAGAAGAGACACGGGAGAACTAATCATCTATTGAACGCTATTTGGGAAAGGTTTTGGATAACACGCAGTAGGACCGCAAAAAGGGAACAATCGGTAGATGTATGTTCTGTCGCCGTCAGAATGCGGTAGCCGGAAGGCAACTGATGGCCTCCCTACTCGAATTCAGGGTTTGAGCGGGTGGGTGGCTGTTCGCGGAGATGGGAGTGGACTACTTCGGGCCATTGGCAATGGAGTATGGGCGATCGATCGCGAAGTGGAACAGGTGCCTATTTACCTGCATGCAGTCTCGCGCGGTGCGTTTGGAGATTGTACATAATGTCTACCGAATCGTTCCTAATGGCGCTTAAAAGGCTGATCAGCAGGTGCGGATTCCCTAACAACATATACTCCAACAACGGTTCAAGCCTCGTGGGCGTATCTAATGAGCTCAAGACTTGGCTATCCCGAGTCTCCCAGAGTGAACTACATAAGAGATTGGTCTCCCAAAATATTCGTTGGCACTTCAACCGGCCGTACACCAGCCATAGGGGCGGGCTGTGGGAACGTATAATGAGGTCAGTGAGAAGGATCCTATTGGTGGTGTGCAATCAACAGGCCATCGACGATGAAACCTTAAGCACAGCCTTAATCTAGGCAGAACGCATACTGAACAATAGACCCTTGACCCTAGTTGAGAATGAAGCTCCGGATCTCACGCTCACGCGAAATGACTTGATACTTTTGAGACCGAATCACAGACTAGCAGTACCCCGAAAAATTACCAAATATTATTCGAGCAGCTGGAAGCAAACAACCTACCTAGCTGGATTTTTCTCTAAGCGATGGGTCCGAGAGTATTTGCCTACCTCACAGGCACGCCAGAAAAGGATACTCAGGGAAAAAAAATTCGAGTAGGCGACGTAGTGCTGCTTGCGGATGAACAATTATGGCGAGTCATTGAAGAATGCCTCCTGCATGAGAACGGGCATGTACGTGAAGTTAAAGTGAAGACGGCAACTGGCGANACCTGGAGGGAGAAGAAGCAGAAAAGACCGGGGAGCAAGGTTGCTGAGGACTCCTCCGGGTTAAGGAAGGAGGCACTGTGAGTCATAAAAACCGGCTTGTGACTAGCCTCCTGAGCAAACGAAGACAGGGAATGGCCAGAGGCACAGTAAAGTGGCATAAAAGCCATAAGGGTTAAGTAGTTAGGGTGCGCATTGGTACTTTCCTGAATTTCCCTTTGACCGTATGACGCGAGGAAGGATTTTTCCGGGCGGTATATTGATCGATCTTTGAAAATCCTTCCCGTAACGCCCAGACAATCCACATTGGTTACACATTTCATGAATTTCACGTTTCTTTCAAGTAACACCATCCGCCTCATACATACATGGACAATTGACGTTCCACCTTCATTGTATATTTGCACGTCGATCCCACTATTTAACTTTGTTTGTTTTTCAGTTTCTTTCGTACCCTATTTGTTTTAATCGTGACCTGACCGACCATATTTGACTCGTTCGAGTGTAGCGTGACATTGAGGGTGATATTCCTATCCAGACTTATTTCTTTTCGTTCCGATTTGTTGAATTACGCTCACAGTACCACTTGGCTCTTGTTTCCAAGTTGTTCCGAGATCACCTTGAGGTTTGTACGGATTTTATTTGCTCATTTGACCGTTTATTAATGCATTACCTTACAAACTTTCTGAATAGTTTATTTTGTTGGGATCCGATTTCGGCTACGCATTACGCGTTACTCGTTGATCTATTTGAGAGGCACATCGATCATCGTCACGTCTCAATGGTGGAGTTGCTCCTTTTGTCCGCTCGGGTCTCCCTGTTCAAGTGCTGGAGAACTACGCCCATCCAGAAGGATTTGGAGAAGCCTTGTGGTTCAGAATCAGGCTTTGTGCCGGAGAGGCATACCACAGTTAGAGTGATCTACCACACACCGGCTGTTTATGTCCCGGAGCTGTTGGCCAGCAAAAAGAGGTACGCCTGCGATGGACGTTGTCTTGTCATGGGTGATTTCAATTCGCCACATATTGATTGGGAAACTGACATCAGCACGCGGATTTATTTTTCAGAGAGCTTCGTTTTACTGTCCGTGCTCTCTCGCTTGTTCAGCATGTTCATGTGTCCACGCGGATATTTGGGGATCACAAATCCATCTTTGACTTGATGCTCTCGCCGAGGCACTCAGATTGGACCAGGATGGACTTTCTTCCACCAATTGCATCTAGTGATCACTCCATTCTGCGTAAGCACTGGAGGCGTGGCTTACCCCAAACGGATAGACCACAGGACGGAGAGAATATGTAGTGCTCACTTTTTCCGGAAATGCATCAGGCTACATCGCTCATAAATTGGGATTCCCGAAACCCTGAGGATGTGGATAAATCCTGGGAGTTGGTTCGTCATGGAACCCATCACCTTGTACTGGAATTCTCTCCATTTCACAGCCACCGGAAACGCGCTATGGGACCGCCGGGGTTTGATCGAGAGCTGCGGATGCGCCTCCGGCAGTGGAATAACGCATGGTCCAGGTAACCTACAACAGGCTCAGGATTTGTAGAATATCGAGGTATTCGAAAGCATCGTATTCCACTGAAAAATACAAGACAACCAATTCGAGGAATGACTCGCCGCGGATGCTGTACAGAGACCAAAGCAATTCTCTGTGCCTACCTGAGGTGAGGAATCAGAGCAAAGCTTGGTCTCACAACTCTCGCCAAAGACGGGGCACTAGTCGAAAAAGATGAGGACAAAGCGGAGATGTTGGCATCACATCATGCCTCAATGTTCACTCCAGACTCCAGCAGATTGGCCATTCACGGGGCACTGGCACTGCCCTGATCTGCACCCCATTCACCATCGGAGAGGTGGCCGTGGATTTGTATCCACTAAGGTTTCACCTGTTACCTGGACCTAGTGGTGTGCATCCTGAGGGAGCTGGCAGTTGAAATTGCAGTGCCACTGTGCAACCTGTTCAATTTGTCATTTACACAAGGGCGTTTACCGCGGCAGTGGAACGATGTTGTCATTGTTCCACTACCCAAAGGTGGGGATAAGAGTGACCCTAGAAACTAGCCGCCAGTCAGCCTTACTAATGTTGTGGGTAAAGTAGTAGAGCGNGACTGGTGGCTGCACGGCTTCGGCAGCATTTGGTGTGCGAAGGTCACCTGTGCTACCAACAACACTGTTTCAGGCCGGGTCGCTCATGCCTCTTAAAACCTGTTACTGGACCGTGAATGCAGAACCGAAGACAAAGCCAAAGGATACGAAACGGACATCTTCGTGAACCTCCG